TTCAGAATACAAAGACAGCTCAGACAGATCAATAGAGAGCAGAGTAGAAAACAGGAACACTGGGTAGGACAGGAAGACAAGACTCATAACGAAACACAGGCAGGAGGATATGTAAGGGTTTTATTTAAACAAGCTTATTGCTATTTATTGCAACAATGATTTGGCATGCCTCTCACAGACAGATAGTAACGGATAGTTGTGGTGGGTGACCGGTAACCTTGTTAACTTGGTAGCCGTGTTGCAATCGAATGCCAATATTTACATGGATGCCAGCCCTTCACAAATTTAAAGTAAAATCTAGCTGGATGATCTCACTCCAAATGTGAAGTTTGAAGCTTGGCCTATTGCTGTTTGTCTCTTTGGCCGGACGCATCAAGATAATGGAGGCCTGTGGGCACTTTCCCATTAGGTCTGTGGCTAAATGGGCTTTTATCTATAGGACTGAAGTAACTTTAGAGTCAAACTGCTTTTAAATCTCCCCCACTGATCCATGAAGCTTGTCTCCTAAATGCCTTCACCCTGATGGTAATACAGTCAGGATGCTGACAGTGAAGAAGTGTTAGAGATGCAGATGTTCCCCTTCCCCCCCTCAAGAAGCCCTAAGGCCTTGAATGTATTCATTATTGTGCCCTGTACATTCACCCACTCAAATACTGTTAAAATATACATAGAAATAATATTCACTATGAATTAAAGAGATCCCATTGCCTTTAATAATCTATAAATCGGTATGTTTGAAATAAGAAGGAATATCCAATCTGAATCATGTAACTTACTGCAATATGACAAGGATGGAAGATTCTAGAAGGAATGCTGCTGCCTCTAACGTTGGTTTAGAGGAAATATCTTAATATCTCCCATATGTGGAAAATGAATATGGGAAGACATAACTAAATTGTGAGGATGCGTTAGAAAAAAAAACGCAGTTGGAGTTTATATATGCTGGTGATGGAAAATCAATATCTGATGCATTTATGACAGTATGCTTGGGTAATGAACAACAATGACAAAATGCCTATTTCTAGTGTAAAGTCAAATACTAGCCATTACACTGCGTTTATGAGCATGAATGTGCAGTTACGCAAAACAGCCATTGAAAAAAAAAAAGTGCAAAATATAGATTTTTTTTTGTATTTCAATAATGCTGAAAGCGATGTTGAAACATCTGTATACACTGGTCCTGTATCGTCTCATTCATTTGATTGTGGGCTCGGGTAAGGCAGGAGGCACCGCCCAAGATCCAGACAGTCTACACCCGATCCACTGCACTCTCATTAATAAAGCACTGATTTACCATAGATGAACACCCCAAAATTTATTATACATCATATTAAAGGCTCCCGTTACATGCCATTATTTTACTGTAACTCAACCTATATGATCATTCACCATTACCATTTTTTCTCCAAAGGATCGAACGTGTGCATAATACGACAATTATATATATTATGTATTTTATATTTATATATATAACTCTATATTGTTTATGTATTTTATGATAGATAGATAGATAGATAGATAGATAGATTTAGCGAACGTTGGTCAAACTAAGTCATCAAACAAATAAAACCCCAAGGGTAAATTGAAAGAATGACTTACCGATTTCATGGCTGCTGCCATATCATCATATCTCTCTGCCTGCTCAGCCAGCCTGGCTTTTTGAACCAGCTGCTCGCGGTCAACCATGTTGGATGGTATGGATGATATAATGATATTATTTGTTTTCGGGGGAAGAAACAGTAATATTGTATGAGCTATGCGGTGTAATTCAATGAACGACAGCCTCTCTGCAGCTGTTCCTTGCTGTCTGCGCTCGTGCCGACGGGCCACCCTCGCCCCTCCTCACGCGCTGGAGGGCTACGTCAGGGTTCTAAACGTGGGTGCTATGGCAAGCTGGTAGGACATTTATTCCTTTAAACTAACTAGTATGCCTGTCTATTGTTACCATATGGCGCTTTTCCACTGCATGGTACAGTGCGGCTTGCTTTTGGGGGGTTTTCCACTGTGTACAGGTCCTAACTGTTACCACCTCGGGTCCTCGGCTGAGGTTCCAAGCGAGCCTACCATTACCAAAATGTGACGAATGCAACAGTTTCGAACGAGCGCACCTTTTTTAAACAACAAAATAATGGCTGTTTCGTGGTGTTTTGAGGAAGTACAGACGTTCCTCTCGTTGATAGGTGAGGAGCGGATCCAGCGAGAGCTTAATGGGACGACGCGGAATGAAAACGTTTTTCAGGAGGTCGCGGCAGTAAATGTGGCGCAACTATAACAACATGTCTATAATCCCACCCACTCTAAAGCGGTACTAAACTGCAGTGGATATGCAAACTGAGCCGAGCCGAGCCGTACCATGCAGTGGAGAAGCACCATTACTAACATTTTTTAAGGTAACACTTAAAACACTTTGTCCTTGTCACACATTACATGTACTTGCTGTTGCTATAGTAATAAATAAACAGTAAATTATGCATATTGCATAAATGCATAAATTCTGACTAATTCTGACTAATATGTATTTCAGGTGTTTCTGACTATTCCAGTTTTACTAGTGACTAGTACATAGCATTTATTCTTTAGTTAACTCTAGCTAATTAAGTTGTAAGTGTTTATACTAGTGTGTACACTCTAAAAAATCCTGGGTTATTTTTTTAACCCAAATGCTGGGTTGAGCCTTTTGGTTAATTTTTTTGGGTTATTTTTTCAGTGTTTGGGTAGTTTTTGTGTTACCCAGTTCCTGGGTCAAATGTAACAACCCAGTGTTTGGGTTGTTTTGCAGCTCTTGGGTCAGACATAACAAACGAATGTTTGGGTAGTTTTTGTGTTACTCAGATCCTGGGTCAGACGTAAGAATAAAGAGTATTGAGGTAGTCACATCTACATGTCATTTTTAATTAAGTCAGAAACGTATTACCATGGGTAAGAACCATTCAATCCCTCAAGAAATAAGAGATGCTAGACGACACCCCTCCAGAAAAAAAGCATGATGTCAACCCTTGACGAAGCAGAAACGGAGGGGTCCTCCTCAATTTCCATAAGCCTGTGTAAGAATTGTCTCCTAAATGCCTTCACCCTTTGAGATATATACTGTTATGAGTTTGCATAAATAGGTATTTGTCTAAGACTAGAACTATTAAATAATTTAAAGTAAATGTACTAGTATAACTACCAGTAACCTATATACTACTAACTAGTAATGTAAGATAGGAAATGTTTAAAGAATAAATGTTAAAACGGCTTGCCATATGGGTGCCTCACTCATGATGTAATAGTCCTTATATGGGAGTCAAGAGGCCACATTTCAGCAGTGATGATGATGGCACATCAGAGGTCTTCTAAGAACAAATGCAATATGGGAGAATGAGTCACCCCCTATTACCATATCTAGCGACCCTCCTGTATGGAGTGGAGGATTTAGGGGATAATATGTATCATGTTTTGTCCATGCTCAGAAAGGTTATAGATGTGCTAGATATCAGACTGATGGAACAGACAAGCAACTTGGATCTTCATATGAGTCATTTTACAAAAGAAGTATAATTTGTATCCCTTATATGGGGGAGACTTGGGGCTAATTGTCTCAAAGTTTAATGCATCTTTAAAATGCCTTTCATCATGTTGATTCTTTTTCATTGTTCTCTATATATATTTAATAAGTATCATAGATAACTGATAAGCATTTGGAACTGCCATATACACTTCAGTTTGGAAACAGTACTAATACATTTCTGAGTAATTTATTTATGTTTTTAAAAGTGTCTCATGCTCACCGAGGCTTCATTAATTTGATTTTAAAACAATTATAATATTGTGAAATATTATTACAATTTCAAAGATCTATTTTAATATATTAAAATGTAATTTATTTATGTAATACAGAGCTGATTTTTTTAGCCATTACTCCAGGCATCTTTTAGAAATTATTCTAGTATGTCGATTTGGTGCTCAAGTATTAGCAATAATTATTGGTGCTCAGTTACTAATAATGGTTCTTATTCTCAATGTTGAAAACGGTTTTTGTTGGCTGCTGAAAATTCAACGTTTTCATCACAGGAATAAATTACATTCTAAAATACATTACAATAGAAAACTGTTATTTTAAATTGTAATAATATTTCACAATATTACTGTTTTATTATATTTTGATCAAATAAATGCAATCTTAATAAGCATAAGCATAAGAGAATAATGATAATAAGCATAAGAGAGTTTTTTTTTTTCAACAACATGTAAATAAAAAATATATTGTATGTGCTCCAAAAAGATAACCAGTCCGTTCTCAGGTGTGTAAATCAAGAAAAGTTTGATCAAACAAAGAAACAAAATTGTCCCCACACCGAAGGAACACGTAAATAAATAAATATTCCAAACTTTTGACTGGTAGTGTTTGAACAGTTCAAGTGTCAGAATATGGAAGTGTCAGGAATATGGCAAATACAAACAGAAAATGCCAGAATAGAATAGAATAGAATAGAATAGAATAGAATAGAATAGAATAGAATAGATGCTGTTTTACCTTACCAGTCAACAGCAGAACAGTGAGTCAAGTTCTCTCCCATGACTGTGGTATTTGGTTTATACAATATCTCCACAATGTTTTTTGGTTTCCTTAGGCTGACCCATGCAAACCTTTTGTTGACTGTAAAGGATTGTCCTGAAAAGGTGAAAGGGACTTGCAGGGTTACTTCCTTGACGATAATGTGGTTGACAGCTAGCTCTACTTGGCACAGTTCAGAACGGATGGCTCAGCTAATCGGCAGGACTGTGCGCAACAGGACTGAGCCAAATGCACTGGCAGAGTGTTATTCCAGTTCCTCAGTGCTTCAAGTCCATGATGTGAAATCTGTTCTTTCACTAAAGAGTTTTGTAGACTGACTTTACAAAATGGACTTGATAACCATTTGACGTGTCAGGTTAGTAGTTGATGATGTCTCAGGTAAAACTGATTCATTTGTTCCAAGAGAATTAGTCTGAGGCAGATTAGCTTGGCTACAGCTCTTAATGCTAAAGCTATAGAGAGCATATGGGTGTTTGCTAACCACCTGTCTGCCTACTGAGGGGGCATCAGTTGGACAGTTGCAGGCATAGAAGCAGACTGGAATGGTTGGGCTGGATGTCTGTCTATATCCAGATGGTCTTACGGTTGCTACACCAAAAGATATAGAGAACTGGGAATCCGAGAGGGAAATGTTTGACCCAAACGTGCGCCTCTTTGTGGCTCTGTTCTCATACAACCCTGCGGTGATGTCACCAAACCCTGAAACAATGGAGGAGGAACTGCCTTTTGAACAAGGACAGATCATTAAAGTAACAATAGTTATTTATTTATTTACTTATTGTATCTTCTTATATCTTAATTCACAATTATTCAGAACCCCACAATAGTAAATCTGAACTTTTGCATCTTACATGAACCTGCTAAATGAAACACGTGATCTTCAGATCATTTCTGTCCTACTTAGCTCATGCTGTGATGGGAGCCTCAGAGATAGCGAGATGTGCTCTTTTGTAGGTATATGGAGATAAAGATGCTGACGGCTTCTATAGCGGGGAGACCGGTGGCCGCTTTGGTTTTGTATCGAGCAACATGGTTTCTGAGATTCCTGTGGAAGACGGAGAGTTTAAACTTCGTCTGTTCCAGCAGGGGTTTTTACCAGAGGAGACGCCTTCCATAGGCAAGTATTTACATTTTTCTCTTTCTTTTTTACTTGATAAAACTAGCTATATATTTAAGGGATTTAGGGATTGAGTCATGGCTGCTTTGTACTTTTAATTTTAATAGTTGGGGAGACCGGTGGCCGCTTTGGTTTTGTACCGAGCAACATGGTTTCTGAGATTCCTGTGGAAGACGGAGAGTTTAAACTTCATCTGTTCCAGCAGGGGTTTTTACCAGAGGAGACGCCTTCCATAGGCAAGTATTTACATTTTTCTCTTTCTTTTTTACTTGATAAAACCAGCCATATATTTAAGGGATTTAGGGATTGAGTCATGGCTGCTTTGTACTTTTAATTTTAGCACCCAGTGAAACTTCTAGTGTGTCGGATGGCGTGAAGGTTCACAGGATGGTGGCCATCTTTGATTATGACCCTTGGGAAAGTTCTCCAAACATGAATATTGAGGTGATTGCATTTTCCAATAAATATGAAAAAACACTCCGAATACCTTAGCAACCGCATAGCAACACCTTAGCAACCACCCCTGGTACCCTAGCAACCGCATAGTAACCCCCCCGAGTACCTTAGCAACCGCATAGCAACACTTTAGAAACCACCCTGGGTACCCTAGCAACCGCATAGTAACCCCCCCGAGTACCTTAGCAACCGCATAGCAACACTTTAGAAACCACCCTGGGTACCCTAGCAACCGCATAGTAACCCCCCCGAGTACCTTAGCAACCGCATAGCAACACTTTAGAAACCACCCTGGGTACCCTAGCAACCGCATAGTAACCCCCCCGAGTACCTTAGCAACCGCATAGCAACACTTTAGAAACCACCCTGGGTACCCTAGCAACCGCATAGTAACCCCCCCGAGTACCTTAGCAACCGCATAGCAACACTTTAGAAACCACCCTGGGTACCCTAGCAACCGCATAGTAACCCCCCCGAGTACCTTAGCAACCGCATAGCAACACCCTAGCAACCTCCCCGAATACCTTAGCAACCACATAGCAACACCTTAGCAACCACCCCGGGTACCCTAACAACCGCATAGCAACACTTTAGAAACCACCCTGGGTACCCTAGCAACCGCATAGTAACCACCCCGAGTACCTTAGCAACCGCATAGCAACACCTGAGCAACAGCCCTGGGTACCCTAGCAACCACATAGCAAATTAAATAAAAAATGTTTTAAGTAATGTTTTAGATATTTTAATATTAATACATGAAATTAGTATAAATATTGATTATCATTATGCTTTATTTTAAAATATGTAACATTTTCACATAATAATCATATATTACATTGCTTTACGGTAACACGCTGAAAAAAGTAAAACAATTATAGTCCTTTTGAAAGGTTGTACACATAGACAATGAAATATGAATATGAAAATAGTTTATAAATATAACAAGTCTGATCTATTATTTATTCATTCATTCATTTGTTATATTTCTTTAAAGATAAGAATCAGGACATAGATACCTCTGATGTTCCCGCCTCTTCTCTTCGCGCTCCAATCGTTTCTTTGCACGCTTCCTCTTATCTCCATGTGCTCCAAATGTTCGTTTTACAACTATTTGTTAAACCTGAAATGAGAATTAGATCAAAATGATGTAATAAAATAAGCCAGATCATGTTTTAGTATGGTTGGATGTTCAGCTGCATCAGCTTCAGTTGTTCATAGCGAGTCACTGTAAACCACCAGGAAGTTTAGAGTCATTTTTATTGCCTGTTCTGTAGGTGAAAATGAAATATTACTTGTGTAATTAACTAATTTAAAATAAAACAATGTATAATACCTCCAGTTTTGCCGCTTTGTATCAAAAATGTAGCTATGTGAAATGGATTCAGCGTGAACCATTGGAATTGACTATTACATTTTGGTTTTGTAACTACTAGTTAAAAAAAAGAATTGATGTTTTAATAAAAAATTGAGTTCATTCACTTTTTTAAACATTATTTTCTATCATTAAGTTTTAGCATATTCACCTCATTATATTTACATTACATCAAGCAGTTTACCATCATTTACTAGTAGCTGAAAACAGAAATGTAGTCATATTTATCTAACATTTTAGGTTAAACCGAAGAGCAGTGACTTACCAGTTCTCTGCCCGCTTGATCCCGGAAACAACAGCGAAAAGAGAAAGAAGTTGTCGCCTTTTAACACTTTTTAGGCCACATGGTGCAAACCACAGGAAGAGGCCCTGCAGTCGCTGTCTTAAAGAAGCACGAATGCACGCCTATTGGACTAGTTTCATTCTAAGATGGACTCGAATCAGTTCCTTTTAAGGGCATTTTAACTGATAAAAGACAGATCAGAAATGAGAGAAAAATCGCTCGGTCTTTAGCATACATAAAAATCACACAAAGAATTAAAGAGGAAGTCTACTAAACATGTGATCAGATTGCATCAGGCTTCCACATCTGATGGTGTGGCTTTAAAAACATGATATTCCATCAGTTTAAATAACAGCAAATATCACCGGTGGAAGATGTTACACTTGTTTTGTGTGTGCTTTTATGAATAGTTTCATAATAACTTGAATGTTTGAAGCATTATCTTGCTTGCGGCACTTGTAGAGCTCTTTCCTGGGGGGGAGGGGTGGTTGCTATGTTGTGCAAAACCACACTGTTTCATCAGCATATTACATATACTTATGAGGGTGTGGTATTGTGTCATATAAATGTCATATGAGTTTAATTTAAAATCATGGCTAATTTTGCATTGTTTTACAGTAAGATGCTGATAAGTAAAACAGTTGTAGATCTTCTGAAATATTTATTATATGCATACAGGATTAAACATATTATGAGATTATCAAATGAAAATGTAATATCAGACACTCTTTCTTATGTGTCACTTTCCTCAGATGCTTGAATTTAAACACTTTTGTCCCAGTCTCCCCTGAGTATTTGGTAGTTTGATAAACAGGAGGCCGCTCTTTTATTTCTCTGAACATGATGTACACGAGATGAACTTGTTGTCTAGACAACCCAAACCTCAAACTCTCGTTTGACACGCACAGAAGGAAGTGGGGGATGTGCAGATACTTCTCTGTGATGTACAATGATAGTGTTGTACAAAAAAAAAGCATCCCATTTACAGACATCCCATTATATGCACCTGGGTGATTATTATATGGGCAGTTTTGGCTCTGGTGAAGTTTAGAAAGTAAACATTCTTAAAACATACTTTTCTCATTTTCACTAGTTCATTTAATTTGTCTAATAATAATGTCCAACAGTGTGTATATATGAACCACAGGAGTATTCTGTCTTTATTTTATATTATTTTTAAGTCATGATCATTTCTACTGTGTCAATTCCAGTTCATCTCATTTAATGTATTATGTTTAATAATATTATGTTTAATTGGAAGCAAAGACTATTATGGAAAACCTTTTTGAACATTTTTGGAACAAAATGGCCTTTTTCCTTCTTGCTAATTTCATGGCTAGCAATTTATATATTCAAAATACACACAATTATGATGCACAATAAAAATGGTAATTTCACAAGTACTTTGATTTTTTTCTTTCCCCCTCTCACATCACATATTCTAAATATTATGTGTTTAATCTCAAGCTCATCTCTGACATGTTTGTCATCTTGGTAAACAAACATACTAACTTATAGTATATTTGTTGGTGGAATATATAATACATTTTACAAATGGTTTGCCATTATTTCACTTATTGTTCAGGATTTTTTTTTTTTAATATAATAATTCTTTTTTTTTTTTACTATTAAATTATATAATATTTTATGATCGCACATTTGTGTCTGCGCCAAGGGTAAAACAATAAAATCTACATAAAACTTATTCAAACATAGTAAAAATTATAGCACAATGACGTCCAAACCAAAACCATATCATGCCATAAAAATGGGGGGGGGGGGGGGGGTAATTGCCCCCTAATGTAGCCCATGTGTATAGGTGAATCCTTTTGTGTCTCCCCAAAAGACACAAAACATCCTTAAACTTACAATTTCACTTAAACAATTTTAAATTGTACCAAAACAAATTAATTAACAATACCAGAACATCAATTCTGTTTGTTTGTCTCTCTGATGTAAAATACACTCAATTTGTTAAATTCTCTAAGTAGTGGGTTTGTTTGGTTATTTATTTTTTGGGTGACGTCACGGAAGGGTGTGTGCCACGTAACTTCCGTCCAAATGAGTTAAACGGTGTATCTCGCACATGGTTGTTTGGCATTGTACTGGTGTGAGCGTGGAGAGCGGCTGCACACAGAGTACACGACTTGTATTGTCCTTTGTTGTCTGTGTGTGTTGCTGATAATACCCAGCAACAAACCTGGCATCGCGGCCGTTGATTTGGAGCTGTACGTCTCTTATTGTGGCTTTTTCCTCTTTCATGTGGCTGATAATACCCAGATAGGTCGGTTGATTTATTCTGTGCCATAAACAGTGTGGTTTTGTTTTAAGCGTGTGTTCTGTTTTTTTCATTGTAGTAACAAATTTGGCAGCATGGTCGCTTAACGTGATACGATGTGTTCAGACTAATTAGGAAACATTGTAGAGGTAAACGAATATTTAGTTTTAATGTTTTATAAAAGCGTAATTAATTGAAATGTATGGTCGAAATGTAAATTGTATATTTTAATAATATATGAATGTATGTGTATTTAAATGTGTAATTGTGTTTTGGCAGACTTATCTGGGAGCTGATCATATATTAGACCACTG